CTCTCGCTCCCGACGAGGAGAGTCTCTTCCACAGGACAAGGCAGAGCAAACCAGAGCAATGCCACGGTACCCTAACAGCCTTTCTTGTAAATCCTTGACCGACTTTCTGCTTTGCCCCAACACCTCAACCCCGCGCGCGCGGATGTCCCAGGGCTTCTCACAAGCTGCATCTCTCGGAGAACGCCCTGGACAGTCAACGACCTCTTCTCCCTGTCCCCACTGCTGGGGAGCCGCAGCCTTTCAGCAGCTGCATCCTACTGCTTGGTCGCTCGGGTGAGTTGTCGGTATTTTTGTTGGCTGCTTCTAAGATGCTACTTCTGGGTGGGGTATATGCAAGATTATTAAACATTATTTTTCTTACGTTTGCTAGGGCAACTGTCAGACGTACCAGCTACGATAACGCAAGATGGAAAAGTAGTCCATATTGGTACATTTCCAACTGGCCGTTTTCTGTGCGCCCAGCCACTCTAGAATACTTCTAGCGCTCTAGACACAGAAAACTTCTTGATGTGAAACTCCGCCCTGTTCGTTTTCATTGGATTCCCTCTGAAAACAGCACAGGTTGAAACAGGTCACTGAACCTAATGGAGGACAGAGACTGACGTCCCAGGAAAGGCCAAGCAGAGATGGAAAAAATATTCCATCTGAGAAAGCTACTGAAGGAGACATTCACAGAGTAGGGTTTTTGGTTTGGCTCTGCTCTACAGCATAAGTAGCGACTATAAAAGTGGTGCGTTTTTACTCAAGAAATCTTGTCTCCTGCTTAGTCACTACCACAGCAAAGTCTGTATTTGATTAGCAGAAGCAACAAAATTCAAGCCTAAGCGCAGAAGTCTAACACATAATCAGTTTTATGGAGCTAGTTCTGGTTTCACTACCAAGAAACGCTTACCAAAATTTACTTTTCTCTGCAGCGACTGCAAGATCGCTGTATTCTTCCCCTTTTTGTATAGTACTACTTTTTAGACGGTAACAAAGATAATTTATCTCAGTAGATTCACTTACATGCTCCATTTTGGGCCTCCTAGTAAGCCAAGAGTTTCAAAACACCCTGCAGCGATCTAGCTTTTAGGCAAGGAAATCTCTCGCTTTTCACTTGTGAATTAAGTCTGAATTAATTATCTGAATTAAGATGCTCAAAACAAATTCTTGGCCATTAGCAAAACACTGCCTAAATACAAACGCATGCATGTGCACAGCAAGTACGCTGCTGACACTAACCACATGAGAGATGAAATAAAGGCAAGAGAAATTAGACAGGCATTAAGAACAGTCCAAGCCAAACCGTATCCAGCTTTATTAAAGGTACTTTTCATAAACAATCATGGTAATTTAGGCAGGACATGGGCTACAATCTGCAACATTTTACAACAACTGTCAAACTCCCCTCCCTTCGTGGACTACCAAAACGTAAAAGTTGCTATAAAACTGAAGAATCTTCATTTCATACTTGTAAAGGGAAAAGTTTAGAGTGAGGGTGGACACTTTCACATTTAGCATGTTGTTTAACAACTCTTCACAAACCTACCCTGACTTTGAGAGGAAAAAAAATTAAAATGCAGGTTTCTTAATCTGAAGATCCACAATATAAAAGAGGAAGTACAGCTCCTTTTCCAGCCGTTAGATCCCAAATCAGACACCCGAAGTCAGGATCACCCGACAATGCATTTAGAGTGGCAAGTCCCAAAATGCCGTTTTTGCCGTATTTCGGAGTGATAGGCTCTAGGCAAACAACGAGGGCGTGAAAGGCAATAGAGAGGGCGTTACAAACTGCAGTTTTGAAGTCGGCAACAGGCATCTTGGGAGCTTCGACGTTCACTCGGACGCACTTCACAGAACTTAACAGACGTGCAGCATGAAGGAATCCCTTCCTCCTCTATTCGGGAAGAGCCCTTCTTCCAAAAACTGGGGGACCGGGAAAACTTTTCGTATTAAAATTTAGGTTCCGAGAAATAGACTAAGTGACATTTGTCCCCACTGCCCCCCCTCAAAACACAACAACGAAGCGGTCTGTGTGCTAACAACATAGCTTAAAAAAAAGTAAAACAAAATTCTGCATTGTTATAAAACTTGATAAAAAATAGTATTTCAAACTGTACAGTCACCAGAAGTACACAGTTATCAAAAATTCACACATTTTACTTGGCTTCACCAGCACCTTCGGCTTTCTGTGCCTAAAAGAAAAAGGGGAACCAGTCAATATACACCACGCGCTTGCACCAAACAACCGAGAACTCATTTTTCTGAATAGCGGTTCTCTGAACAGAAGAAATCTTATCTGGGCTGCAGCACCCTAATTCTTAAGGAAACGAAATCTAACATTTGAAGTACCGTAAAAGACAACCTGCAGCTGCTTTGTTACGTGCGAACTTTACGCATTTTCAGAACAGGGCAGAACAGCAACTTTCACGTGGCAACTTCACCTGGCAAACGGACAACTTTAACTCCTTACCGACCAAGCAACGCCCCCCCCATCTGTAGACGCGTCGCGAGCAACGGATCTAAATAATCAAGCAATAATTCCTCTTCATTAGCGCAAGCCTAGACCTGTCTATGTTCGATATGGAAAAAACTAACTTGCTGACGTTAACACGAGCTGCCAGAGCCGCTGTTATACCTGGTCTGTTTTGGCGTCTCCGTTTTCTGCAGGGTTGTTTCCCTCCTTGCCAGCATCAGCTTTCCCCTTCTTTCCCTTGGGCAACTTCTCGCTCTTCTGTAAACGCAAGATGACGTACACCATTACAATTACCAGCATCCAGTCGCTAAGCCACCAGAATCCAAAAACTAGACTGGTAAAAACCAACATCGGATGTCGGCCCAAAAAGAACGGAACACACAAACGTCTGCACGTTTAAGAGACTGACAACAACCGTGAAGAGTCTCCACGTTGGTATTTTTCATGCAAATTTTGTAAAATTCAGACGTTTTCAGTGCAACTTTGTAGAAGTGACGATGCAGCTCAATTTCATTACTACACACGCTGTTATTCAAAGTTTTATTAGTTATTACCAGACAAATCTAAACCTCACAACCCATTTACCTCTCAATAACAGCACTGACACAACAACTTACCTTTGGAGCTGCCTTTTTAGGTTTAGGCTCTGGCTTCGGAGGAGCAGGCTTCTGTAAGTGAGAAAACCCCCTTGCGTTATTCGAATTATTTTAAGCGAAACATACTCCTTTTTTAAAATATTCAACCCAAATATTTTAGTTTTAGGAAAGCAAATCAAAACATTTGAAATCGAAGCACTTACTTGATTTCTCCATTATTCTACCACCCCCGTAACGCCACACAATGGGGCAGTTCGTTAACTTTCTTTCAACCGAACAATGCGTCTCTCCAGAATACCTACAGTTCTCACACAGACGCGGTAGGTAATACTCAAGCTTAAAACTATTAAGTGTTGTGACATCTCTGCTCAACAAGAGAATACTCACAGCAGATAACCTCGCCGATCTCCGTTGTGGCTATTTAAAAAAGAAAAATAACTGAATTTAACGTGATGGAATATGAACTCTCATAAGTGACTCTCATTTCAAAGAAGTAAAATCCCAGAAGTAATGTTTAAGTTTTTAGCTCACTTCTTCCCCGTTCTCAAGAAACATGAGACTATCCCGTTTAAATCACTACTAATAGCTAACAGTAGTTAAGTAGATTTTTCATGGTTAACCTTAAAAGACAGTTAATACTTTGAAAAGTCAGAATCAATCAAGACCAACCCCCCCCCCCCCCCCGAAGTCTTTGATGAAGTTAAACCTCATTCTCCAGCATAAACACTTTATGATCCAACTTTCTCAAAATATTGAACTTCTTACCTCATCCTTAACTTTGGCCTTATCGCCCTTGGTATCTCCTTCAGCCTAGGACGCGAGACATAAGTGGTACCGACAAGTTAAGGGGAGGCACGCTCAGCCCCATACCCGCACCAGCAGTTATTTTTAAACACACACACACCCCCAGCCT